TCTCTATTATTAGAACAGGAAAGAGATACAAGATAGTCTAACCTTTCTATTTTAGTCTAACCTTTCTATTATTAGAACAGGAAAGAGATACAAGAGTCTAACCTTTCTATTATTAGAACACAAAAGAGAGGTAGTTATACACTAAATGACTTCCCCTTACCTCCACAAACACAAATCAGATAAAACAGAAAAACCGCCAAAGATATTGACGGCGGCATGTCTTCATTGAGCGTCTGGGAAACGCGGATCACCGTGGTTCTCATGCGAGTCGCATCCTCGTTCCGACGGTACGCCGCATAGCCATTCGGCAGGTGCACAAACAGCATTAAACATCAGGAAGAAGATGGGAATCGGGAGACAACCACGATGTATTCATGGATGAAATCGGCTGATACAACCAGTGCAAGGTTGATGCAAAGTGTCAAGATGCAGAGCACCCCAATGTCACATCACCATCATAAAGTGGTGACCTCCTACCGGAAAATCCACGACGTGTTGCTGCATCCTGCGCTCACTTTGACGATCGCGGAAGGTGGAAACTCACCGAGTCGTCATCGCTTCTTTTCATTATCGTGGAACTCTCATCCTCCGCTGCGGATCAGCCCATCACCTCGACAATAGGACATGACAACAAAAGCTTAAAGGCAGCCTACTCTCCAGACACAGAGCCACTTCTTTGAACTAGAAAACTAACATCCTCCTAACCGGCCCATCACCTCGAGACTAGGGCATACCGACAAAAACTTGTCAGCCAGCCTACTTTCCAGACCGCAGACAATGAAAGAAACGATACGACAGAACCAAGAGAGAAAATTAGTGATTGAACTCCTTCCACCATACTGCAGAGACAGCCGTACGGACCAGAGCTGACGGTGCGCAGCAACACACGCCGTGCAGGAGGAGGTCCAGGTAGCGGAGGAAGTGCGGCAAATTTCGACACCTCCAAATTGAATTGCATGCAGGGCAGGACACAGAGCGATTCTGACATCTTCTCTGAGTTGTTCGGTAGTGGACAGCAAAATAGAGTAAGGGGTTCACGCGATCACTCCAAAGAATCCACTCTTTTCCGCAGAGCCCACCAGCTACTTGTCGAGAAACACCCATCCGAGAGCAACGCCAAAGGAAGGAACGGGAACATGGACAGATAAACACATTGCGCCTCGACGCAATTTACCGAGATTGATCAGGTCAGCTGGTAACACCTCTGAGAAAGAAGTCAGAGCCTTTTCCAACTCCGCCCTACATGCGAATGTCCTCAAGACAAATGCAAATACATATCCATCAAAAAAAAAAAATACATTCAATCAACGGAGAAATTCGATGCAAAACTAGACTTACTCTGCCTTAAGCAGTTCCACAGAACTCCGCGCCCTCCAGATACACAGGGCTCCCGCCTACGCAAAATCTATATCCAAGAAACATTCTGCCGCCGTGGCAGAGACAAAAGACTTGTTCGGCAGGGTCGTAATAATCCACGACAAAGTGAAAAACATAAACTTTCCCTCCCCGATCCCCGGTGACAAAGTGGCTTTCTATACAACTCCACAGAAACCTTACATCTTAACGAAAAGGCAATACGCCCTGCAGGATAGGAGAGTTGAAATTACTTGATGTAAATTCCTTTTCACTACCGAACTCGTCCTGATGCGCCTATGAAGGCCAGTCTATAAATAGAACCATCCCCTTCAGGTACTCCTTAGACGCTTCGCTACAAACGACCACGACTTCTTAAAAACCATAGTTCTTGATGATACCAAGAACACCTACAAAAGAGGGTAAACAATAGACCGTAGCGCTGCGCATGAAATATTTTCAGGAGAGAGAAGAATGTATATACATGTACATGTTTTTAATAGATTTGATGCGAATGAATATCTAATATGTTTGATGCGTATGTATATACATATGCAGCTATAGAGAACTGCCCGGCGAACGGTATAGACAATGAGGGAGAAGAGGACAACAAAGGAGGGATTGAGACAGACTGTTTGGTCGGAGTTTCACCAACAAAATTCATCAGGAGGCCGAACACATCTCTGAGAGAGAATAACTGCCATCGCTCATCATACCGTAAACATTCGTGGCAGTTTGCAGGACACACTAATACAATAAAAAAAAGACACAAACATAAACGTTTTTCCTGAGACCTTAACTAGGTGTGCACCTCCGTGTTGGCGAGGAACACCTCGCTGTTGGCAGGGTACAGTGTAGACAGGTCTTCGCGGTCGTAAAGAATGGAAGAACATATTCAGGGGGCGTTACTATGTGCACCCCAAAGGAGGGACGTGAGACGGTCTTTTAAAAATCAGAAGAACGAATTCTTCGCTCGCTTCTACAACGGAACAACAAAGCTTTCTTCGGTCGCTCTCCTTCATTTGTATGTCTCAATTATCACCCACCCCTCCATTGAAAAGGATAGATATAGCTCATCAATCGCAATAACGTAAGATGAAGCGGAGTTCTACGTTTACGCTTCGTTGTTATGATAAATCAGCAGCCATCGAAGCATAGCGTGCCCCTCAAGAGGACAGCAGCACAAATAGCTTAAATACTCCTCACCCGCCATGAAGCCGCCCTTTCCATCTGCAAAGACGCCGCAGCGCCGCGCGCTACAGGACAAAACTGATCGATGGATTACGCGCAGAAGAAGGCACCTAATTAACTACTATCAATTGGCTGCCTAACGAAAAACGATATCAATCTCCAGAGGAGTGGGCTTTCATCCTTTCCGTTGCAAGGACGGAACCCCACCAGCCTCACAACGTCGGCCGACCGACTTTTCTCCCAACATCACTTCCCACGCCCCCATCAAAAGTTTTCGCGTCTCCCACCATCACTTCCCACGCCCCCATCGAAAGCTTTCGCGGCGGGCTTCCCCACCGGTTCGCAGACCACCGTTTACCGCTATCTTCCTCACAAAAGAGAACGCGACGCGTATTTCAATATACCTCAAAGAAGCGCTCAACCAACATCCCGCCGGTGCGAAGGGCAGGATCACAACAGCAGAGAGACGCGCGACTGTTCACACGCTCAGCAGGCGCGCCTGATGCCCATATCCTCCACACAACAGCGCGGATCATCCATCAACCATGCTAAGCAGAGGAATGAACTCTCCCACTTCCTGCGCAGTCAGACGCGTGCGCTTGACACTCGATTGAGAACAACCAATGGACGACGACAAATCAACGCGCCGTTTTGCAACCCCTGCAATTCAAATTCAGCCCGTAAGGACATTCAAAAACACGACAATAATCACAGAACGTTGCTACTAGCAAAAAAACACTCTACACCGTCATTGCCATCCTAATGATAAGCGATCTCTACCCCCCCGTCATCACATCGAGGCTTTTATGTTTATGTATGTGTTTCTCCCAAGAGCCACCTACCTATCACTCACCCGCGTGCCACGATAATAGTTAAACACGCCGTGACTATGCTTCTCCCGAACATTTCCCCATCACGCGCTATCATCATCTCTCCCAGCTGAACAGAATTAAGCGCACTCTAGGCATCATTCATCACCGCTGGCACCCCCCATCTCGCGACATCGGCGTTCGTTAGTGCGCGCTCTGCCGCGCGCGTGCGGTCATGCAAAAAAGCTGTCGGATCACCCGCGCTCCGCCCAGATTCCGCCCATATACCATCATCGCGCACCTAGCCACGTATTATACAATCTTTGGACGTCATCGTCTTCCAATCGCCAGTACTAATCGAGCACATCCATAGCATCATCAACGTGATTTAAACATCCACTACCTCATTCGTAATCATCTCAATCATCACCACCATCGCTCTAATCATTACCAGTCAAGCAAGCCCGCGGCATCGTCATCCTCGTTCGTACCTCCACTCTCAGTATCATACTCGCCAATCTCGCACCATGCGTCTTCTACCAAAACACCAACACGGAGCTTAAATAACCAAAAAACTATTCAGGGAACTACGACGAGACGCTCGCAGTCCTAACCTAGATAGATGCCACTACCCTACCATGAGGCTACACAAGGAAACGCGTGCGACGCGCTTCCAACTCCCTCTCCCCCCCCCCCCCCCCCCCCCCCCCCCCCCTCCCGGGATCGAAAAAACACACGTCTTCTATCTTCACCCACTCAATAGACGATAGGTTCTTGACGAAGCGTTCGAACGGTATGTTCTATACTCTGTGGTCTGCGTCAAATACCGTTTTCATGATCTGAAAGCGACATACAACAGACCAAAGAAAATAGTCCAGACAACGCCATACTACGATACTTACCGCACATCTACATCAACCATGGAGTGCGCTAACATGCGAAATTGAGCGCCATTGGTTCCATCTTTATCGACCACTTGATAAGTGGGTAATTATACAGCGAGCGCATCGCCATCGTCGCAGAAAAGAGCACCCCTAACGAATCTACTCTGTCCGAAAATGGAAGACAATTCACACAACTTCAGATTTGCTACAGAGTTACATCCAACCACAGGTGCGAGTTAGAAAGAAAACAGTTCTGTCCGCTCCAACCAAGCATTTGGACATCACCAACAGCAAGATATTGCAGCAGCCTGACAGCCTGAACAAACGACTTTAGAATCCAACTCCTCACCAAAAACCTAGATCAACATAGAGGGGACGGGGGCGTACGGGCGCGCCTGACTTCCGGGCGAGTACAGGCGCGCCTGTCTTCCGGGTGCATACCCGCGCGCCTGACTTCCGGCGTGCGTACATGCGCGCCAGACTTCCGGTTGTGCACGCGCGCGCCTGACATGCTGGAGTACGAATGCTTCAGAATCGAACGCCTGACATGCTGGAGGAGTACGCATGCTTCAGAATCGAAACCCATCGTCAACAACCAAGACCCAAACCCGGTAAATGATAGTGGAACAGTAAATGATGCGGTGGATGCCTACTTCGCTGGGGATTCGACGTACAGCGTGACAGAAAACTGCGGAGTCACAAGACGTCGTTCTCCAGCATTCCCACCACCAATAATGGAAGCAACAGCCTCATGACGCCGACTCGCTAAGAGATGAAAAACAAAAGCTCTGCTTATGCACCCTCTTAGTTTCGTCGGATCCTCCAATTCCCCTCCCTCCACCCCCCCCGGACTGCTATAAGAGCGCATTCACGCGCTGCTGAGATCATCATTTCTCTCTCTCTCTCTCTCTCTCTCTCTCTCTCTCTCTCTCTCTCTCTCTCTCTCTCTCTCTCTCTCTCTCTCTCTCTCTCTCTNTCTCTCTCTCTCTCTCTCTCTCTCTCTCTCTCTCTCTCTCTCTCTCTCTCTCTCTCTCTCTCTCTCTCTGTCTGTGTGTGTGTGTGTGTGTGTGTCTGGTGCGCTCTCGATCTGTGCTCCCTAGTGCGCACTCAGGTGCTACACTTGAGCTCTCTCATAACTGCAACGCTCGAAAATACGCAGCTATTAACACACGTACGTTTTAGTATCTGTAAGCACTGATGGGCAGCTCCCTCGTTATTTCGCTCCCGTGCGCATACATGTCTGCAATACTGCTCATCTGAGTCGCCCCCGCTGAGCGTACACGTGTATTGGGCGGCAACACGTGTGAAAAGAGAAGCTCACCAACTTGAAAAACACGTATGCCGTAAAAACAATGCAGTTCTGTAATTACGGACTTCTCAAGAGGAAGGAAATCCGACAAATCACCCCGCGATCATTTTACAATTCCGAACAACAATCTCTACGGTCTATCATTACGGACCACGATATAATTACACGCAAGCGTTGCATTCACAAAAGTCCAATCACCGCCATGAAAATTTCACCATTGACACGACACACACTTCTACCTATTCTACATGGTGATTATGTACCCACAACATGTTCATCTTCTAGTGGGCAAACCTTCGAAAGATACTAGAAGATCATTTGTCCACCGGTGATTATGTACCCACAACATGTTCATCTTCTAGTGGGCAAACCTTCGAAAGATACTAGAAGATTATTTCTGTCCACCGGACGAACCCGCATCCACTGGTTACAAACCAGCGTAGTAGCACATCATTTCAATGCCCCCTCACATCTGACGGCATGAAACATCACCCCGCGATGTCCTTTGCTTCTACACACGAGAGCCACCAAGAAAATCTACCATTCCTGAAACTCGCTTTCCTGTCACACCTGCCTCTCAAGTTCCCTCGCTGATCCTCCCATGTATTTCTGATACCACTGCCGCACACACTGCTGTCGATTATCGTTTTCTGTGCCATTCCCCCCTTCCCACAGTCCTCTTCACAGTCGCTTTCCTTCACGCAGCATAGCCTACAGAACACTGCACGCAATTGCACAGGCTCGCAAATGATTAAAAAGCAAAAACAAGGACAATGAGAGACCAGAGCATACCGATTCATGATTGAAGCACTTTTGAGGAAAGGCCGTGAGACCGAATCTATATCTCGCACAATGATATTTCCTCTTGGACTGAATGTAGGCGAGGACGCGCGCTCGCGCGCCTCCAAATCGAAGAAGCTTGTGATGCGTCTGCTTCCTCCCCTTCGATGGTCACACTCTCAAAATTCGTGTCTGCCGGTAAGAAATATCGTTTTCCCCTTCGTTCGAGCCGGAGCTACCGCTGCCCCCTCTGCTTCAGACCGCTCACCCACCTAACACCTCCGCCCCTCTCCTAGAAAGAGAGGCAAACACTTGCCGCGCCATCCCCGACATCGAGCAGAGCCGATGCGAACGACAACACACCCAACCGTCCGCTAACGCCCTAAAGAACAGAAGAAGCACACACGCACCGGCCATCCACCCGTTTCAATCTCACGCGATAAGCGCGCGAGACCGACGACGGAACTATTGTCTGTCCTCCCCTCGCTGTCTCCCCTCCTCGCTCGATCTTCTGCTTCTCCCACTTGCTTTCCTTTTCCTCTCCGTTGCCTTCTCTCTTTTTTCTGTCCTTTACCGCAGCCACTTCAGTGCCTCGCTTCACATCTCCCTCCTCCCGTCCGTCCGTCCGTCCGTGCTCAAGTCCTTCCGTCTCGCTTGAGCGAGACACCCTTAGTCCGCCCTCTCCGCCTCACTCTCCTTCTTCTTCCCATCTCCCCCCCCCCCCCCCCCCCCCCCCCCAACCCCCCCCCCCCCCCCCCCCCCCCCCCCCCCCCCCCCCCCAGCCAACCTCTTCCCTTTCCCCCCCCCCCCCCAAATGAGCGCGCCGCTATCCGGCCGACGTGCCGCGGAGCCTTCCAGGCCAGGGACCCGATCCCGACCTACCCCAATGCATTGTCGGTCCTTCGTTGCCGGCCGTGTCGTTGCCCTGTGGGCAGCCAAGGCGTGACTATGGCAGAGAGATGACAGAAAGAAGACGACGGCTTCCGAGCTGACGGCTCGGGCGTACGGTATGGAGTGATGGTGAAGGCGGAGCTGCCACGGTGTCCCGTCATCGTCCTTGATGCGGATATTCCCGTAGAACGCACTATCCGGAGTCGACTTCCTCGCGACTGGCGATGGTGTCCGTCGCGCGTCAAGTAAAGGAAATGCCGCAGGCCCATCCCCTACACCACCGCTCCCCCGCCGATGTCCCCGCAGCTATCCTGCGCGCTTGTCCCAGAAACAGTACACTCAACTTGGCGCCACTGCCAAATTGCGGCCCCTCCCCCGCCATCGAGCCCCCCTCCCGCATTCCCTCCGCACTTCCGCCGATCACGAGCGCCCGCGCCCACAGATGCGACCAGACGCGCGCCACGACACCGTCTGCACTATCCCGCCCTTCCAGACCAGCACGCGCAAAACGCAGCACACCCCAATAAAAACAAATAACAAGCAAAATGCAGCACAACCCGCCCAGACTCCCGAAGAGCCAAAATAAAGAAAGAAAAAAGGTCACATGCCCTACGCCACCACCCTTGGGATAAATAAATGTGGCGAGGGTCTGCCTTTCGGAACCCTGGCGCTCCCGCGCGCTGGCCCAAGGAGGGTCAGAGGGGCAGGGTTCGCTGCTTCTGGCCAGCGGGGTTTGCCGCGGTCAGCGAGGGAGTGAGGGAGTGAGGGAGTGAGGGAGACGCGTGCTGCCCTGCCACTCGATCCATACATCGATCCCCGCGCCTGCGAAACTTCCACTCAGTGCGCGTCGTCCTCACTCATGCGCCGTTACTCCGACAGTTGTTGCGCCCGCTTCCCCCTGCTTACCGTAGCGCACCCTTCACGCTCCGCCCGCCCAGTGTCCAAATGCTTGTGGCCGATCCCGCCCTCCTTTCCGCGAACCTTTTGCTAACTAAAGGGGGGTTCTGTCCCGCTTTCCGCGGGTCTACGCTGTAGCATGATTACGTGGCAACGCCCACCGCGGCCTCGTTTGGGAACTACTAAACCAACTCCAACTCAAATGGCGCACCAAACCTCGCACTTCGTTACGTCTACGACCCGCTCCAATCCCTTCCCCAATCACCGCCCACTACTAGACTAGATAGATAGGCCCCATAGGCCCGATTGGCAGGTGTGCTCCTTTCCTCCACCCTCCTTGCCATGCCAATGCCAATCGATTCTCATGCGTTGCTTCATTTCCGCCCGACGCCTGCGTTGACCGACGGGCCCGTATAGCTCCAACTCAAAGCCCGACCCCTCTAAGGACATAAGGCCTCGGCGCTCTACTCCCCAAACAAACGTGCAAAGAAATGGAGAACGCATCGTCCGGTAAAACCTTGACAGGAACACGGCCCACAAATTTTATCCATTTCACATTTGGTGAGTGCTGCGGCTAGGGCCAGGCACACTCTAGGGCCTTTCCAGATGTCTCCGACCGTTCTTACCCACAGAGATTCACGATATTTGTTTTCTTGCCGTTTCGTTGTCGGTCTGCTTTTTATTATTAGAGAAGCCGTACCATTGGGGTCTCTCGGCTCTGGGCCCGTGCCCACAGTCGTTACGTAACCCCTGTGCCCCCTTTCTTCAAGTCTTGGTACCATTTTCGGTAAGGAGAAAAAGGAACCGCCTTTGAAAGAAAAAAAAAAAAAAAAAAAAAAAGGAACCGCCATGCAACACCGAAAAAGCGAAAGAAACAGGAGGGACCCGCCGCTGTCGGAATCCTACCGCAACCAGCTCATTTCTGTTCTGTTTTTCGTCTTCTCTTGTCTCCGCCCTCACTTGTCCGAAAGCAGGGACACGCTGCCCGTCTTTCACGAAGTCCCGGAAGGTTTCTTGGAAGGGTGTTCTAACCTACCCTCCGTTCCCGTGCCCCCTGTTTAGCTGGCAGGCACAGATGTTTATCGCAGTCCCAAGGGGATGCGTTATATTGTCAGAGATGTTTATCGCAGCCCCAAGGGGATGCGTTATATTGTCTACCGTCGGGTCGCAGGGACCGCAGCCCTAGGGGCCTATGTTTGTGAGAGAGAGAGAGAGAGAGAGAGAGAGAGAGAGAGAGAGAGAGAGAGAGAGAGAGAGAGAGAGAGAGAGAGAGAGAGAGCGGTCCCCTTACCTGGACAATCGGTTCAAAGTCACGGGAGACGGTCAGAGGGAGTGTCATTAGATACCTTGGACGGTGTTCCATTCCACCGCCATAGGTGGTATTAGTTCTTAGTCTGCAGTTAGCAACATAGATTGGGCTCCTTTGAATTGAAATTTAGCTTCAGCTCTTAGGTTTATCCGTTGTTTATGCCTTTTGGGTGTTATTTTACATTTCTATTGTTTCGATTAGATTTGTAGTGAATGAAGTCCTTTTCTTTGTTATTTGTTTAGATAGATTGCTTTTTCTTTTGCTTTCTCCAGCTTAGGCAGCTTTCCTTTCTTTTTTTTTTCTTTTCTTTTTCACGAGGAAGGGGCCCTGAGGGCTTCATATTAAACTTGTAAAATTGAGGTCGGGAATCCCTCAACAAACAACCTGGGAACAAGGAGCGGGAGGTAAAGCTCCCAAAACGCAACAAAGAGGCGTTTGGTCTAAATATCTAGGGACAGAAAATTGTCACATCCAGACCGCTGCCCTGATATACCACAACCCTGACTCAAAACAAACAATAGTACCACAAGGCCTAAAAAGCCAAACAAGCCAAACAGAAACCAATCCACACTACCTTCCGCCTAAGGCTAATTCAATCCTAAGTCCCACAACCAAATAATTGAAAACAGACACTATATATGCCCTCATCAGACGAGGCCTAACACTCACTCTACTACACTACAATGCTATAAAGAGGCCCCCCTAATTGCTAGTCCTATATGCAATGCAACTTTAGGCCTACCCCTACTGGTTCGAACCCACGTGTCTCTTAAACTGCCTATTGCGGCAGTCCTGTCTCTGTTGAGACGGTTGCACATATACATCTAACGCGCAACCTCACGGCCTGTGCTGTCTTCCGTTCGGAGTGCTAACTGTGCGGAAAAGAGGCCCAGAAAAACAGCAAGAAGAGGTGTGCCAAGGATTTTTGGAAATTGAGTGTGGGGACACAAACAGAACTGAAATCCCCCGTGTTGGTCCGATGAAGCAAGTCGATTACTTTCGCGCGTCACGGAATGCGCGCGCGGACTTGGCGCGAAAACAGAAAAATCCAAATTCAATCCAAAAATTATTGTCAGGCTTCCCACCGAGCTACGGCTCGTCATTTACAACGGAAAGGCTCTGGCACGCTTCACGTGTCTCGTTTTCGTATCAGATCTCGTCGTCGTTTATGGGTCCGTTCCGAGTCCAAGGTGGATGGTCTCAGCCGAGTGGCTCTTTCCTTATGCTCGTCCTCACTCCGTATTCGATAGTGGAAACCCCTCGCTTCGTAGCGATTGAAACGCTGGCGCTCCGTGCACAGAATGCGGGGCCAATGGGGCGCCACGGCCGTCCAAGGAATGACGATCAGCTCGTTAAATGGCAACAATATCGAGTAGGGTGGAAAGTGCGTATCGATAATGACAAATCCAACGTCTACGAACCCAGAACAATGGTTGGCCGGAGGGAAGTAGTACTGCCCGCCGATTTGTGCGACGGCTTCTCGTACGTCCCACTCACATACACGTGTCCTTTCCTCACTGTAGGGAAAAGGTCGCGTTGGGATGGGAGATACGGGAGGCTGACGCCCAATTGAGGGGTGCTTGTCAGTCCACATATCAATCATATATATATATATATATATATATATATATATATATATATATATATATATACAGAGGCATCATTACGAGCGAAAATCATTCATGCGACCCTCAGTCTACCCTTCTTGACACACGAGGGAGTAAACACACATCCGCTTGTTGGTTTCCGGCGCCTTGTTTCTCAAGGTCGCCTGGTGGCTTGATTGTTGATGTCCTGCCGCGTAAGGCAGATGGCATGCGCAGTGCGTTCGGGACTATGGATCTAAACACTCTTGTACTCTCGAACAAAATCCCGACGACATTCGTCTAATCAATTCGAAAAGTCACACATCTCTATACATGCATTTACTGTGGAAGGTGCGAAAATGAGATTTTCACGGGAAAAGTTGAATCGCATTGCACAGTACATACGCATCCACCGTTCACAAGTCAAGTAGACGGGGTCCTTGTGTGGGAGGATTATCCAGAGTTCCGGAAGAAGTTTTTTTACGCCGAAACAGGAGGCCGACTTATTCCCATTTAAGAGAGGGACAATCATTCAGACGCATTATTATTCAAAAAGGGAGAGAGAGAGAGAGTCGAGGGAAAGAAAGTCCAAAATAGAATATGACAAGATCCAAAAAGAGAAAAGTTCGGCGCCACTGCCGTACACTCACGTCAAAGATAACAATCCACAACAAAGGCGCATACACCATTAATTTCAATTTGGCCCCGGGCCAATCAACTCAACATCGATCCTCATATCCGCACCGACGATCCCGGTTGTCGCGTGCTAACTCCCACCGTTGCGATCATCACCCCGCTGTCGTAAACTCGACACGGTTCGCCCTGATCCCACAGTCCGTCGTGGCGATCAGGCGTGCAACTGGCCAGCCTATCGTCAGCCCGACAGGAATTTTCGACTCGCATCAAACACTCTGCCTAGCCACTGCTTTCCGAAAGCTGACTCGAGAGTCGAGAACGTAAGAGAGATCTGCGGACGCGCTTGCGGGTTTTATAGTTGCGACAGGGGAGATAGAAGGGGGAGAAGGCGACAGGAAAGCTGAGGTGTAAGAGGAGAAGGAGGAAAAGACTTTGAGACGAGTGCTCTACGAACGCCATGCTGATCCCTCGGAACTCAAGGTTCAACCAATCAGATTCGTCGCGATCCACGCACCTGATTGGCGATCGGGAGTTATCGGGGGATTGATTGCGCGTCGTACGCCCGGCTCAGAGGGTGAGAAGAGAAAAGGCGCGAGAGGTGACGCAAGACGGGTCCAAGATTCAGATGATTGAGAAAGGGAAATGGACGCTCGAAAGCAAGGCGGGAGAGAGAGARGGRGAAGAAAAAAAACAGTTACGGGAAGAGAGAAAAAGGAGGGAGAAGGGAAGGGAGGCGCGGGAGGGGGTGATGCGGGGGACAGAGAGGAGGAAGCTTTTGCATGCACGGCGCCGTCAAAAAAAAAAAAAAAAAAGGCACCGAAACAGTTATAGCTGCCTCCTAATTCAAAATTGAAATCATCATATCCGCACGTGAAAAAGCGACGCGGGAAAAGAAAATCCTACGCTTATTCGTGTCCGGATGAAATTCCGAAAGTTTTCCCCGGCGCGCCCAATAACATTTACACACCCAAAAAGGACACATCGAAGTT